CAGTGTAGAGTGGGCATACATTGATTGCAAAGCCATTATCAACCAGGCTCATAGGAACATTCATCTGCCTACACACCACAGTAAGGTGTAAGGCCTTGTTATGTTGGTCCCTTTCCGGGGCAGATCCTTGTCAGAAAAGGAAATCAAATTGCTAGTACTTGGCAATTCAGTAGTGAGAAAGTTGACCAGTCCTTGAGGAGTCATATCATCATCAACTCCTATTTTCACCAGAGCATTCATCACAGCCTTTCGATGCTCGTGAGAGGTGGCCAAAAGCTTCCATACATTCATTTCCACCTTAATCTTTTGTAATTGTTTGACCACATCGTTGTTCACAGGGTCAATGGGATCAACAATTGGTTGTGATTGCGGTGGAGGTGGAGGTGGACTAGGCTGTTGCAATCTTCCACTTCTGGTGAGAACCTTGACCTCAAGATCTCCCCAAACATCTTCACTTGTTCCAAGAGACGAGCAGGCTATATCCTTGAGATAGACGTCTTCATCGTCATTATCCCAAATTCCATTCACTTCTTCATAGCTCGAGAAAAATACAACTTCCGGCAAAGGTTCATTCACAGGTTGAATGAGTATTGACGGATCAAAGGAGACTTCATCTCCCATGATAGCCAAAGCATCAGAAAGAGGACCTGTTTTAATGTTAGGCTTCTTTCCCCCTGGAGGGACAGGAAGTTTATTAGCATCAATCAGGTCTTGGATTGCATCCTTCAACCTCCAACACTTCTCAGTATTATGACCCTTGCCTTGATGAAACTTGCAATGAGCATTGGGGTCATAGCTAGCGGTTCTATTCTCTGGTCGAGTATCTAGAAACGGTCCAATTGGCATAATCAGTCCTTGACTATGCAAGCGGTCAGAAGCAGCATCATAAGACATTCCCAAAGGCGTGTAAACCCTACTTTCCCTTTGGAATCTTGGAGGAGGAGCATTAAGGGCCAGCACATCATTGATATTTATATTATTGGTAGCATTATTAGGCTTGGAAGACGAAGAAGAAGGAGTGTCGTTCTTCTTGTTTTTCCAAGTGTTGTTGTTATTATTGTTGCTACCAACAGTCTTCATCAATTCATCTTCGATATTGATTTCAATATCGTATACAGCTTCAAAGGTACTCAAAGGCAGAAACTTTAAGTGTTGCTTGTACTTATGAGTCAAATTGGCAATAAACAAGCGAACATCTCTTTTTCCTTGGGGGGATCCACCAAGAGCGCAGCTGTTTCCCTCCACCTGCTTAGGTAAGTAGTGAAGCCTTCATTCTCTTTTTGTTTGAGAATGGAGAGTTCACGTTCAGAAGTCTTGGCCTGAATGTTACAATTGTAACGATTCATGAAGCTTTCAGCAACATCCTCCCAGGACGCAACATCTTTGGATTCTAGAGAGTAGAACCATTGTTGACATGCATGCTCTAAGGAAAGAGGGAACACAGTAGGGAAGAGTGTCACATCTACTCCCTTAAGAGCCATGGTCGCAGAAAAGGCCTTCAAGTGGAAGAGCGGATTATCAGTAGGCTTGAACTTGGGAATGTCAGCAGTGGAAAATTTCTCAGGAAGTTTGTCCCTTATGGATGAAGAAGTGACAGGTTGCTCCACATAAGTGAACTCTTCAGAGATCTTACTCATTTGTTCCTTAATCTTGTCCATTGTAGTGACAGTGACATGGTTTTGGTTGTCTTGCTCTACCGTGTTGACTCTAATGGTGAGTGTTTGCATCATTTTAGACAACATTTCAATTGTCTAGTTGATGTTCTCGATATCTTCCTTAGTAGCCATTGGTTGAAAGTAGACTGATGGACCATGTGAAGATGATTGTGGTGGTTTCTTTGTACGCCTCTTTGCTATAAGAGGTTGTTGAGGTATTGATTCGAACCGTAACAATCTACCCCTGCTTCTTGAACAAGTGCTGTGACACCGAAACAAACACACCTTTAATGACCAAACTTAACCTTAACCCATCCGGGAAAAAAAAATTGAATTTTGAAATTCTATTTATTTTTTATTTTATTTTAAAAAAATAAAAAAATGGGAGGATACCATCCGACTTACTCCGAAAAAAAAAATGACACAAAAAAACGACACAAGACTACCCTAAAATACGGTCATGAAATGGTGCACAACTAACGACAAAAGTGTGTGAACACGACATGTGAGCGATTAAGTGAAGGTTATGGACACGTGTTATGACCGTACAGCTAGACATGACACCAAACTGGACACATAAACCACATACGTACGCACAAAAACCAAAAATAAATTGTCGGGACACTTCTCTTGGGAACCGTGTCACGGTGCTCATTGTCGTGACACAGTGCAGTCTACCGTCTGCCGGTAGAAAGCGCCGTGTCACAGCACTGGTCACCATGGCGCGGCAGGACTTGCCGTGACACGGTGCTCAAATCCAGGTCTTTTTTGTGAGTTTTTCCAGATTTTAATCGATTTTAGGTCCGTACTAATTACTATGTGGAAATAAAAAACCCTCGGTCATGGGTTAAACAAAAAGAGAAAACACATGAGGGTTAGCACCAAACAAACCATGTAGCATTTAGTCACGATGATGTAAAAAAAAAGTTTGCAACCTAAGGTCAAGATCTATGTTCAACTATGGGTCAAGCTTTGGGTGTCAAAAGGGTACCATGGTTAAGAGTTTGGACGCGTTAGCAAGGCAACCTCCCTTGAGGGTGTATGCCAATAGACGGCTCCGCGGGTTCGTAATGAAATCGAAATCGACTCTATGGTTTGGGTGGATTTAATAACTCGGATGAACCCTTATTGCCATAAGAGTTTTTGAATTGATAGAGCTTAAATCTCCCGGGGCTAAGACGCATGTAGAACATTGGTTTTTCTGAAAAATAGAAGGAAATTGACTGTGAGAAGAGAAAACAAACCACCAGACTGATTTTAGGACTGCCGTGCCACGGCAGAGATTCCTGTGCCACGGTGCTGCACACCGTCAGACAGTGTACGACAGTGTACTGCACCGTGAAACGGCAGATTCTGCCGTGGCATGGCAGTCAGAAAATCTGACTGGTGCCCTGTTTTCCTTCGTACGCTATCAAGTTATTCAATTTTTCCTACGGGATAGACCTAAATGCGACGTTAAAACGTCTATGCTTATGCAAAAATGCCAAATTAATCATAGGAATATTTTTCAAGAATCTTTCAAGTCTCATCCACTCATCTTAATTAAATATCGATCACTCAAATCGATAATTATCCAAGAATCCTCCCCAGCAGAGTCGCCAAATTGTAGGCGTTACTCGATGTGCGCCTACGTTAAAGCATGTGTGAATATGCTTGGCACTCTTAGGAAGTGGAAATTGACGTATACGATTAGGGACAAGAAAAGTAGGGAGCCGCCAACATGTTTTTAAGGAAATTGTAAACTGTTCACGTATCATTATAAGGCAACCACGAGAAAGGGACAACGATAGGCAACAACGATTGACCCGTGAAGGTTACACCCCATTCATAATCCATGAGATTACTAACTCCATATGGTTCGGAACCACGAAAGGAGGATCGGGGATGATGGTACGAAGTGAGTCATGGTGTCACATTCGCCCGTATTGGCCTCTACTCGATTCTTATGGTGAAAAGTGATTCTTGCGATGTCAAAGGCATACAAACAAAATATTCAATTTGCTCCAAACTATTATTAAGCTAAATTGGTTTAATATTAATGCAACACATTATTCTAAAATATTGTGATCACTTGATTTAATAACAAGATTGAAAAGGAACCTAAACCAGTCGTCCAAATTAAATTATCTTATTAGGCGTGATTTTCAATTACATATTCCCTTTAAACATGCAATATGGTGATCATAATAACAATAGAATAAACATTAATATTGGAAGCAATTTAGCAATAATTCCAACAATATAAAATCGTTAGAAAAATAATAGAAATAAAAGGAACATAATTCTTACTTTGATTCGGTTTGCTTGAAATTATAAAATAATAAACGAGTTAGTAACTTCAAGGAAATAATAATAAAATAATAATTAAAGTAAATTAAATTAAGTAGAGTTGATTTGGGGCCAAACCCTCAAACAGTTCTACCTTTTACGCCTTGGCTTAAGGGCAGAACCACAAGTAAAGTATGGACTCCTTGGAGTGCTTGAAGAAGGAATTTTGAAAGAAGAAGGGTAGGCTAGTGTTTAGGCTAGAGCATAGAGGAGAGAAAAATAGAGAATTAATTGATGCACCGTACATCAGAAATGAGAGGGTATTTATAGAAAAAATGTGCTGAGGAAACACACGGAACCCTAAAAAAATAAAACCCTAAAAAAGTATACCGCGACACGGCAAAGTGTACCGTGACACGGGAAACCCTACCGTTACACGGGAAACATTCCCGTGACACGGTATACAGCTGTGTGACGCGGGAAATATTTAGTAAACGGGAGAGAAAACGCGTTAAAGGTTTACGCGGAAAGGACACGGAAACCCCCGTGTCACAGCAGGTTCCCCGTGTCACGGGAAATCCCACCGTCAGACAGGACAATTTCCCATGACACGGTAAAATAATGCCGTGACGCGGGAGTTTTTAGCCCGTTTTTCCGTCTAAATTCATTTTAAACCCTAATTTCGTTCAGCATTTTAAGTGCCGATTAATAATTTCAGGCCATTTCTGATTTATTATTATTTGGGCTAAAAAAAGAAAATAAGTAAATAAAATAAATAAAAGGTTTGGGCCAAAATAAATAATAAAAAAATAAAATAAAAAGGGTTTGGCCTGAAATTAAAAAAGAAAACTATGCTTTGACTAAACATCAAGATTGATCCATGGATTATTCAAAAATTGAATTTAATTAAATACGATTTTTTAAGCACTCTTGTGATTAAATACTGAACCTGGCCAATAGTGGCGGTGAAAGGTCATTCATCGTCGGGTTTGGTTTTGGGGAGACATTTTTAGGTGTCTACAGACATAAAGAAAATACATTAAAACATAATATATGTTACATTAGTAGATGGGAAACTTAAGCATTGTTGTTTTCTCCAAGAATGAAATCATTTCTAATTTCAGCATTATCTATGAAATAATCAGATACGTCAAGGCTGGGACAAGGAGCATTTTCTTTGTTAACATAATTTGCTTCTACATTATTCTCTTTGCCTTTTACAGAAACCTGGTAAAGGTCTACCAAATATTTGGCCGTACGACAAGTACATCCCCAATCTCCTGTCATGCCACATCTGTAACATGTGTCTTTTTCTTTCGAAGGAGTTTGTTTGTGGCTTCCAAATGACTGCCCCTTCTGTTTTTCAAAATTTTTAAAATTACTGTTTCTTAGAAAATTGTTTCTACCACGACCACAATAATTTCCACGGCCTCTTCCACGACCATTGTAGTTTCCACGTCCACCTCTTCGTGTAGCATTTGCCTCAGGTTGATAAGAATTTGTTGCATTTGCCTCATGATGAGTGGCTAAAGACCAAGTTGGTCTAAGGTTATGATTTTTCAACAAAAGTTCACTAATTTGTTCCTCAACAAGCAATACAATCATGAATTCATTAAACCATTTAAAACCTCTTTCACGATATCGTTCTTGCAACATATCTTGCTTGCATGAAAGGTAATGAGTGTTTTTTCAATCATCTGTTCATCCTAGACTGGATGATCACAGTATCTCAATATAGATACTATCCCATGTATAGTTGTATTATAATCAATTACAAATTTGAAATCCTGGAACCGTAAATTCGTCTAGTCAAATAATGTCTTAGGAAGGAGCACCCTTTTGTGGTGTCCAAATCTTTCATTAAGGCAATCCCATAATTTTTTGGGATCTTTAACCATCATGTACTTAGCTTTAAGGTCTTCATGTAAATGATGCCTTAACAACACTAAGGCTTTTGCCTTATCTTGTTCAGTGATAGGTTTTACAATCGTCATTGCAGAAGTGGTAGCATCAGTTGTTTGACCAGAGGGACTTTTATTTTCTTTAACAGTATGTTCCAAGCCTTGAGCTTTCAAATTCATCATGTCATCCACTTTCCATTCTAGAAATTTCTTTCCAGATAAATCTAAAATGTTGAACTGACTTTTCATAAGGTCTCCCATTTTGGCTACAACAAATTAAATGATAATTAGTTTATAATAATAAATTATATGTACAACACATTTGTTTAGTCCCTCCATAATTATAGTTAGGTTAATAAAATAAGTAATAATTAAATTTAACAATAATAAACCATAAGTAATATAGTATTTTTCTCCCCCTTGATTTATTATTGTGAGTATATAAGTAAAAATTAATCATATTAGTTGTAAGAAAAAAAAAAAAGCAAAATGACAACAATAACAGTAGTAACAATAATTATAATGATAATGGTAATATAATACAATGTTTATAACAACAAACCAACATAATAAAACAAAAATAAACTTTTAATATACTAAAACGACAAAATAATTGAGTTTTACTTATACATAATGACAAAAATTAATATTGCTACTAATAAAACTACAAGCGCCGAAATTAGAAGGAATCATTATTTTATCTTCATTAAATCTTCCTCAAAAGTGAAGTGGTGGGTGTTTTGGTTGCCGTCGTCGGGGAACATATCGGAGAAGAAGGGGTGATAAAAATTTTAGGTGATTTTTGGATAAAAAGTGGAAAGGGATTAGGGATTTGTGGTGAAATCGGGGGAAAATTCGCCTTTTATAGAGGTAGGTTTATCCGTTACTATTCTGTACAACTGTAAAAAAAAATCATATAATAGTCTAATGTACTGGCATAAAATTATGGTCCATATATATATATATATATATATATATATATATATATATATATATATATATATATATATATATATATATATATATATATTGTTTAAGGTTATCACACTGGGAATGCAAGCCATAGTGGTTCAAGAGCCCTAATATCTAAAAGATCATCAGTTCGAAAACGGAAAGAAACACAAAAAGTATGTAAAAGTAAGAAAATTAATAAGTATAAAAGGCTGCATCTTTTTGTTAATCTAGTTAATAAAATGCATGCAAAGTTACTACTAAGCAATTATAATAACTAAGGTCAAACTTTACGTAAATCTTGGGCATGAAATATCACCATGCATGAATCAAACAAAGACACATCAACATGAATAAAACAAGAAACATCAATGGATGAATTCATAAGTAATAGAATTTTTTTTCACCGTTGTTTTTAAGGTATATATAATAAAGTAAATGTTAGAGTTTCTGGTATAGAAGATCCCAAATATGGAAAAGTATAGAGCATACTCCTCAAAACATTTAGAAGTAGATAGTATTACTTGTTATAAATTTTAGATGTAGGTATAAATATACCTGACTAGAAAATGGTGCTGATAATGTGTTAAAGTTTCACACGATAGGAAGTCTTTTTAATCGGTGAAAGAAAGCAAGGAAAGAGTAAAATGAGATGAATTCAATTGTAGTGTAGTATTGCATCGTCAATATAGATTATATAGCCAAGTGTCCTAATATATTGCCATACAGGTTCACAATTCTTTAGACTTATATGAACATTGAAAAATCAAATTAAATAATCGGCATTCTTTATCTTCAGTTTTTTTTTTTTTTTTTTTAAATAATAAAATAAAAGTGTAACATAGAACAATCGAAGTAGTCTTGTCATGCCCAGGCCAAAAGAGATGATTGTCCAAGTAATTTTCATGTGCAATTAATTGCATGAGGAACCTGATCAACAAAGACAACAATTACTTTTTTTTATTAATTATTATTTTTTTTTAATTTTTAATTTATAATTTTATTTATTTTTTAACATTCATTATTTTCAATAAACTATATTAATCCATTATCTTTCTTTTACAATATTTTTAATAATTTAACAACTATATTTACCTCTTCTTCTTCTTCTTCTTTTTTTTTTTTTTAATTTTTTTATTTAAGTCAATTAATTGTATAAAGTTATGTGCCGGTTAAAGTGTAACATTTATTAAAAACACGGCGCCATTAGATAAGTGTAACACTTGTTAAAACACGAAGGGAGTAGTATTTTCTCATCTATCTACCTTCTTTCCTTCTCTATAGAAGCTCAAATACAAAGCTCACTACCTTAATAATCTCATAGTGCAATTCCTTTAACATTTGGGCTAAGAAATAATTGTGTGATATCAACATTTTGGCTAAAAATATCAAGTACTTATTGAAAAGAAGATATCATGTAAACAAGTATAGGACATAAAGACCACCGATAATAATTTTTCTCATAGAGCTAGTCATTGCGTGTTGGAATCTCTAGTTATGGATATAATTAGTGAAGCATATTTTTAAGAGACCGGTAAAAAGCAGCAAATTATAATAAGCTGGAGGCTGTATATGGGGATATTGATACATTTGATTCAATGGATATATATATTTAGATATATAATTTTCCAAAAGTTTTTAATCAATGAAATTAAAGATGTTTTATTGTTGCATTTGATTGAAGTATGAGGATTGAAGTGTTGCAAGTATTAACAACATAGCTAGTATGTAAAGAACTACGTTTTATTAACTTCTCCTAACATACACAACACACCACATAACAACGTTTAACATGGATTGTAACTAAACAAAACAACATAGTTCATTGCAACAATCACAAAAGTTGAAGAAATGGATCGGAAACACTAAAGCAACATAGTAGAGGTACATTTAGTACAACTACTTGAACATAGATCGGCTGTCACGCTACGAAGTTGTGATAGTCGGGGGAGAATGAAGTTCATACACTAGTAACAAACGGATTTGGTACACACATGAAAGTCACGGGAGTGATCGGAACACAATGATATGGGTCACAACATGGGCCGATGTATGGTGTGCAAGCTCTCCACACATCATGGCAAGTAAGAGGATGATTAACATCATCAACATCATCAACGATATCTTTGAGTAGGATGGTTGAGATGGGGTCAGGGATTTGGCGGACACCCAAGATAGGTTGAGGTTTAGTGACAACCATCAAAATGGCTACTAACACTATTAAACCAACTGCATTCTTCATCTTTTTAATTTGTTTGAATGTTTGATGATATCATTAAGGAAGAAATTGAGGATGGTTTTATAGACTTAAATAGAGTTACTATTATACGAAGCCTAGTAGGGTTTGTTTTTTTTAAATAATATAACCACGTAGGTGTCGTGACCCATTAATTGGAGAAAGGGAATATACAGAAAACATCATATAATTAATGTACAACTAATCTTAAATTAAACCAAATTGCATGGAAATATGTACTATTTTCTCCGTTTTATAATGTTAGTCCCATATAAAATCAATCACATAAAATAAGAAAACAAATATATTTAGAAGCTAGCATTAAAGTACAACATAATTCATATTTAGTTTACCTTATTTAACTTTTTTGATTTTTTATTAGGAAAACACAAGTTATAATTGCATAATTTAAGGTAAAAATTTCTTTACTTAGTGTCATGTCATCAATCCACAACCAATTAATTCCCAAAAAATCAAGTTATAAATGAAATATATTCAACATGGGTAAATTTTTTTGAAACGCCCAAAATAGTATATGGGATTAACATTATGAAATGGAGGGAGTACAATTTAGCAAAATTTGCTCTTTCAGGTGGTCCAAAAGGCAGAGAGATCCTATCGGATCCCATAACACAACTTGATTCTTCTTTATCATTTTACTTGGGCAGACGTATAGTGTTTCATTATTGAAATTTGGAGTTTCATATTGTATATTATCATGGGAATAAGTTATTGAACTTCTTAATTGCTCGTGGTATATGGTTATTAATATGCACATGCATTATAATCTCATTATTTTGAGGGACGTAGATTGTTTTGTTCCATATACATTATATTCAGATTTTTAACTGCCATTTATACAACTTTTTTGTGTCACTTGCCACACAGTGTGGTCAGATAACATAAGTAACCCCTAACCAACCGAGTAACCTCTAACGAAGTAACCCCTGACCAATCGAGTAACCTCTGATCAAGTAATCACTGACTAACCGAGTAACCTCTAAACTAGTGAGAAACCCCAGACTAACTGAGTAACCCCTGACCAAGTAATCCTAACCATTCTTTCAAAAAAAAATGTGGTTGACCACACGATGAGGCTAAAGTTTGTGCCGTTCAACAACTTTTATGTGAGGCTGACAACACTGTGTCGCTGACAACAATGTGTGACAAATATGGTTACTCGGACAGTGTTATAAGGGTTACTTCATTAGTGTTGTAAATGTTACTCAGTCGTTACAGGGTCGGGATTGCTCGGTCATGTTTATAGGCGATTGTAATTAGGGGTGAGCACGAATCGGATATTTGTATCCGAAAATCTTGAATTTTAATATCCGTATATATCCGATCCGAAATGATTCGAATATTCGAAAATTTTTTATCGGTAATTCGGATATCCAATACTTGATTTTTTTTATTGAAGTAATACCGATCTTTTAATAACATATATTTTTTTTAATAATCAAACTCATTATCATAAACTACAATTATTCTTAAATTTTGAATCTAATAAACCTACAAATATCAAAATATAATAACTCAGAAATTTCAGAATATATAACAATTAAAAT